TTCAATACATAATAATAACATATTTATTATTTATTAATAAATGCAATAGTTCTATCTGATATAGTTTATATTTTTAGAGAATTAACAATAAACATTTTGGTGAAACGAAAAAAGATTATTAGACCTACTTCTAGATGAATAAGTGTTTATGTTTTCGAAGGATACCAATCCAATTTAAAATCATGTAAAATAAAATTAGACAATAATATAAAACGTATTATTATCAATTTTATATTATCAATTTATACATTATTAATTATATATATATTAATATATATATTATTAATTATACACATATTAATTAATTAATTGATAAATACATCGAATCGGAATTGGGATGAATGTGCGACGATTGCGTTCGAGATCGATAAATCATATAATTATACGAAAAGTTGTGCACAGAAATTCTTGCATAGTTTAATATAATTGTATATTATATATTTGTATATTATTTTAATTGTATATTATTTTTATTTCTGTGTACAAAACTTACGTTTTCGTTTCTAAACATGTGCAGTTGGAATCCTTCGTAAACGATTATGTCGTTAATTACTCGAACAAACAAAATTATCTTATCTCGGCAATGACTGACCTTCAGCTTCGAAGGAAAAATGCATGCCAAAAGTGGAGCATTAGCAAGGTACAAATGACATACAGAAAAATTTTACATTACGTAAACTTATCAGAACACAACGATTTTACGTTCAAAAAATGCAAAATAGTCATGCATCGCATGTACAAACAAACAGTTTACATTTACGGGACAATTAGAAGAATAAAATTTTGTGTAAAGTACATATTTTCAAAAGAAGCGGAAGAAATGTTTTATTAAATTTTTAATGATACGTTTCTATAAGTACAAGTTTTCACGTAAATTGTAAAAAATATTGGTGATTCGACAATTCAATTTATAACTGCAGATGATAATTTATAAATAATTTACACAATAAGTAATGCAAATACGTTTAAATAAGTGATATTTATAAACAGATATTTACAAATGAAAAATGCATGTTCAGGAAAATAATAGACATTTAAATGGAGAAAATTAAACCGGTAGTTAGCGAGCCTTGAAATGTTAAAAATATAGGTGCTTTATCGTAATTATTAAACAGCATTATAGATTATGCAGTGAGCAATATGTATTTTTTTTTAAATATACATATATGATAGTAGTACAAAGGATAAATATATGAGGAAATTGCTATGAAAATACAAAGTGTTTATAAGAAAAACAATTTATTCGATCAATATTTTCTTTAGCAATAATAAACATATTTTTGGTTTTACCGATTAACATGAATCGCTCGCTCATGCTCGCAAATCTCTTATCATTATTGCTCTCTTACACATACACCCACGAACACACACACACACACACACACACACACACACACACACACACATACATTCACTTATATATACGCGCTTATTTTTCTTTCCACGCTCGATGGACATCCACACAAATATCTTGAAAGGTACCTACTTACTGATTTATCGATCGCAATCTTTTTCTACACATACGTTTATATAATCATAATATATATAGCACAAAATTGCTTAACGCACGAGCCTCGTGTCAGACGTGTTGGGCTAATAGTATTCGCTAATTAATTAATTTACCCGTTTTAATTAATCAATTAAACCGGGAGAACGGTGCCTCTGCGCGATAATATTCGTCGTTCGTCATCTTCGTCGCGGGACTTTCATCACTAGCGAATTAATGAAACGTCATTCTCGGATAATTAGTCTAAACTAGTCTTAATCGTCGCACATAATTAATCAACTAGTTAATCATAATGGTGTATGTTACAATCTGTACGTACGTACGAAGAACCGGGATCTCTGGTAAGCCTCGAGTTTCCGCGAGTTATCTCGTCGTCCTCGTCCGATAACTCGTTTAATTTGTTATTTTATTTAAATTCTGAAGAAAAAAGAGAAAACCCGATTATGCGCTACCAACCGATCAGATCCAACTTATGCTATCTTTGGTCCTCTAGCCGCTATGATTCGTTGCCGGATATGCGAATTTCATTTGCATCGTCACTTTTCGCGATCTCTTGTGCTTACGTTCCCGCGAGGACGGACAATAACTTCGGAGATTTTGAAAAATTGAATATTCCTACGACAGGAGGAATATATCGTATTTACATAAAGGTTTCGCGAATCCTTAAATACTATTGTATTTCAAAAGTTTCATACGCGAGTCTGCGATCGTATATATTGTAACATCAATTGTTTCTTTTTTTCTGTGTAGATAAAGTACAGAGTGCTTATCACTTAAGTTACAGATTTCGCTTTCCTTTACGTATACAAAAATAATCACTTCCATTCACGCTTTTCTTTCACAGCAATAACTTCCCGCGGGAAGCGTATCTTAATTAATGACGTATAAAATCAACGTCGATATTGTACCAATAATTATAAAAGTGTATGCTAAAGAGCGAGGATAAAAATTAGAATCGCAAATAAACAAATAGGAGAATTTAAAAATATTAATCAAATGAGAAATCATGAAATGATCAAAATTGACCTCGTTAAATAGATGATGTCTCTCGATATAGTATCATTTTTAAAAACGGATGACTTTGGCTTCGATGGACTATGATACGTGAAAATAGTATTTAGCTCATAGCTCTCGATTTATACATTTTTATCCTGTCATATTTAGATTTCTTAGATATCAATGAGAAACTGAAATGACACATAAAAAAATAGCTTCTCGATTATTCCAAGCGATAAATTAATTTTTACATCAATTGCATAACTTTATTGATTATTATGCGCAGTCTTAATAATTTATCAACCAAGATGCTTACTTAAAATTCACAAGAAATGTTACATTCTTCAACGGTTATATTAAAACTAATAATATATAATTAAAGGAACGTATTAAAAATAATTTTGATATCTGCATCGAGGTGTTATGAAGCTTAAATGTACGTTAAACACACACACATATTATTTATGTAGAGGTGGAGATGCACTTTTTTTAATAGTAAGAGTGCAATGATATTTCATAAATATAATCAGATATTCGACGATACTAAAGAAAGGCACGTTCAGGCACTTTGTTTTACCAGCAACCTCAGGTCGATCAAATCGAAATTACATACATTTATTGCGAGGACAATTAGTAGTCCGAATTGAAATAAATATTTTCTGATTTAGTTTCCATTCGCTTGGTGTAAGCATCAAAACATCAATAATAATAATTGTAAAAGCAGAAATTTATTTACGAATACATGCAATATTCTGCATACGAGTCTCAAGAAATATATGTATGTATATATATATATGTATATATATATATATATACAGTGTTCACCGTTCAATTTTGCAGATGTTATTATAATTATCATTTCTAACGATAGATATATATTGAAGATTTAATTATTATTATATTGGTATTAATATACTCTAACTTGAGTAATATATTAGTGAAAGCGCGAACCTCGAAAAATATTTAAAAAATTAAAAGTTAGAAACTCGAATCTTCTTGATTATCAATGCAGCATCTTACAATCAAGACAATTATAGATTGATGCCTTAAAAAAATCTTATATTTGTGTGAACACTTTAAACTTTTTTAGATTTGTTCATTTGTTGTACTTAATTATAATATATTTCGTTTCAGACAACGCGACGTAAAAAAAAAAGAAAAGAAAAGAAAAAAGAAATGGAAGAAGACATCAGAAATAATACATCGAACTTATGCAATAATAAATTCTATTTACGTTAGAAATATATCGAATGATACAGAAATATCAAGGCACTGGATTTAATGAAAAACAAAAATTCGATTTATGTAAATACTTTGCGTTCGATTACGTGCTTCACACTTTAACAATTATACCGAGCTGAACAAATGAATTATTTTATAGTTTTTAATAATTATACCTTCGAAGAAGAGATATCGCGGTGTGGTGAATATTGTTTTCAACAGAAAATATTTACAATTCCATTTCTCACCTGAGCGTAAGAGAGATCGGTTCGCGAAGAGACAGCGAGCTTCGATGCCGGCTGACGATCCTTGAATTACAGCGCCTCGAATCTGTATCGCGCAATCACGCGTGCAATCACGGCTGTATGTATTTATCGTTTTTGAAATAAAAATAAACCGACTTACGTCACTTTCGTGATATGTCGGTTTTTTTTTCGTTTTGTTCGAAATAACACATACTACTTCGATCATTCGCGTTACACTTTCGTGGATATCCCGAATATTCCGAGCATTCCGAAACGTCGACACCATCGATACATCACTACAGCTGCGACCATTGAAGTATATAACTTGCAGTTAAATCAAGCCGATAAAAACGAAAGAAGTGATTCGATGCTAAAGTACACATCGTGTCTAATGTAATTTATATTCGTATTCCAACCGGCATGGATATACGACGTATAACAACAGTGCTGTTTTGACGTTCGAGATGTATCACGTGTTGATCAAGAAGCTGTATTAGCATGTTGCATACATATACACGCCATAGAGAGAATAAGTATAATCACCGATATGACAAATGCGAAGCGCTACATCTCGAAACGATTCTCTTTGATGCACGTGCATGTCACTACACGTCAGTCATTTATTTGTAAAATTAATTGAAAATGCACACGTGTCTTCACGTTGAAGCGACAATTGCTAATGCGGACATGAGCCGTTTTCGATACTCAGTATTGATACATTATAACACCAATATGCCAAACTAGATAGTCACGCAAATTGAAGATAAAAGTGTTTTTTTTTTTAATCTGTGAACATATCTCAGACTTCCGATCTCATATAAAATTTTGATGAGAGTCAGAGAGACAACAAATTATCTTCGTTCATGTAGAACGTACTAAGTTACAAAGAAAAGCCGTGAAAGCCTTTCTTCTACTTTAATTTGAGAAGTTACATCCTTCCGAGATTTGATCTTACCTTACTGTATTCAACCTCGCACAGTAATTAAACTATCTCACAATAATAGTATGTAAAAGACGCCGAATTCCTGCGGGTGTCGCTGTCTCAAAAATACATTTTGATACATTCAGACATACACAGGCACATATACGCGCAAGTGATGTGTTTGTTAACTCCGTCCAACCAACGTCCGGAGTTGAAGTATCTACGAAATCTCGCCTCCAGCAGCCGATCTCGTAGTACGATTCGCGATATTCGCAATATTGCCCTCCCCCAACCGATCATGGTAGTGTCGTGATCCAACGATACATACCGCTCGGTTATCCGGTTCGAGGACCTGGTGCGCGTTCACGGACGAAGTGTCTGTCAAATGAACGAGTCTCAGCTACTGCCGGGAACGGATATCACGTGGTAACCCGTGGAGGACGCTGAATGCGGTGGTAACGGTGAATGCCGATTGCCATTTGGCTGTTGATGCTGCTGTGGTGGTATCTGCAGAGAGCGATAATCGAGCGCCGGCGCCGCCGGATGTTGACCTTCCCGATGCCTACGTAGATCGACCTTCCTCTGAAACGCCTTGTCACAAAGCCCACATTGAAACGGCTTGTAGCCGGTGTGCTTACGCATGTGCGTGATCAGGTTGCTGCTCTGGGAGAATGCCTTGCCACACACGACGCACTTGTGTGGTTTCTCACCTGTAAAATAGAATTGCGAACGGTTTATGGATCAGTATACATTGTTGCAGTTTCGTTCGACTATAATTATTTTTCGATAAGATTTTCAAAAGATGTTCTAATATAGTGTGGCGTAAGTCAGGTATATTTTTAAACTGCAGATATAAAATATCAATTGTAATAACAGATTTTGCGTTGACTTTCTGAAAAAATTACAAAATTTGGCACTTCCAAGTACCATTTTAGCAAGTGTAATTTAACACGTGTAATTTAGCAAGTGTTAATTAAGGTATGGCCTAATACACTCAATGATTTATTCGCTGTTTGTAGGTAATTACACACTGAATTCAATATATAGCACTATGTCACACAAGTTGTCTATGTGACTTACTTGTATCAATTAATTGTTCAATGCATTATGTTGTTATCATTGACGTCAGATGCAGAATGATCGCGATTGAATATTTCATATATAAGTTACAGGGAATGGAAGTAACTCGTTACTTGTAACGAAGTTACAAGTTACTTTTTTGTAACTTTACTGATAACTACGTCACTTTCTTTTTTTTTTCATTTTAAAATATAACGGTAACAAATTTTACAGTAACTTTTATCGTTACTTTGCAAACGATTGGACACTGTTCGATTTGATACAAGCCACTCATTGGACTTAAGATTAGAAAGTCCTTAGGTATCCATCCGCTGTGATTAGTGGTTATCAATTTTAAAAAAGTAACGAATAGTTACTTTCTTAAGTAATGCTAACTGTAACGAGTTACTTTTAAAGATCTGTAACAAGTAACGATAACTTGTTACTTTTTCCACTCGGTAACGAGTAACTGTAACTTGTTACTTTTAAAAAGTAACTTTCCATTTCCTGATAAGTTATTGCTTTCTATAATTAGTAATAGTTATTAATTCCGCAGATCATATGTTAAAAATGTAGTTTCCTATTTTGAATCTAACAACTTATAGTTTTCCAATTAGTTTAGCAAAAATTAAAAAAAAAGCGTAAAACTTATGTATATATATATATATATAAAAATGTCAAAAGTTTTTCTGAATCCTGCAACATAATTGTTATCTGTCTAATTAAAATATTATAAGAAATATTGAAAATCAATCAATTAAATATTTCTATTAATAAACTCGTGAATAGATACTCGTGGTAGACACGATAAAGTTTGATCGACGACTATTAGCTACATTGTGAGATGCGAGGCGTGAATTATAAATATACGCGTTGCAAATTCGATTATTGTGCGAGAAAGAGAACCGGTGAGCGATCTGGAATAATGAACCAAGGTTAACCAAACGCAACTGAATCAACTAATAAATCGTGGCGTCAACCGGCACTTGCGCGTCTGACAGCGATGACTAAAACCTTTACTCGGTACTTCCAGAGACAATCGATTGTCCAAAGGCAACGTTAGCTTAGTTCAGGTATGAAGTGCAATTGAAAACAATTATTTCACATGTAAAATAAGCAACCAAAGTGTGTCGTTATGTCCGCGACATTGATATGATGGCGGTTGACAAATAATCGATACGCTTGAAACCGTGTTCGAAAAAAATTAGTAGAGAAATTGAAGGAGGTGTCGATAACCGTCAGACGTAATAAGTGAAAGAAGGATAATTGTATTTGTTATACATCATGTATACAGAGTATTTCAAAAAATTACAAGAATATAGTATTTATCAGAAGTAAAGAAATGTCTAATTAAAATCAAGAAATTAATCCATACGACTTTTTTCACAAATCGACTTTTTCAATTATTTTACATATAGGATAAGCTTATAAAAAAAACGTATACTTAGATTTTTTTATATCAGATAGAGAGAGAGAGAGAGAGAGAGAGAGAGAGAGAGAAATACTTTACTCTGATAATATTTTAGTACAAATCGGTTTATGTAAAAAGAAACATACAATTTTGTGAAATGTAAGCAAATCACCTAACAGATTGAAAATCGCTTCTATTTTTGACAAGGTTAATTTTTCGACCAGTAACTAACTAAACATTTTTTTCGCCTGCTAAATATGCATCAGAAATTTTTTGTAACTCCCTGTATACTCACAAAATTTTTCAATTTTTATAAATTAAGCACAGAAATGCGCGTATTTTGTCCCCCACAGAAATTTTCGATAATAAAATATCATATAATATATAATAAAACTAACACGTGAAACCATAAATTTCATCGTAATTCTCCAGCAAATGCGCTTTCATCGAAAACAGAAAGTGTCACGACTGACATCATTTATTAGCGTCAGTCGCATAATCTTGCACGTATCTTGCAATTATTCTCGTGATATCGTTACACGAAAGAAAAAAATCAACAGCTTCTGCGTTAATCGCTCTCGCGAATCTTGACGTTCGAGTACGAACGTCCCGCACGCAGATCGCAGCCTCGTGGTAGATAACAATAATAAAGAAGAAAGAAAAAAAAAAGAGGGTACTTGTAAATTCTTGTCACGGCCTTCTAAAAGTCCACTGTCGCTCGTCTAACGACGATTGATCGGCGATGATAATAACCGAGCAAACACCTGTACCCGCGGAGACGACGATCCCCTCCTCTTTCGCTCGAAATTCCGAGCAAACAATTTTATGATTGTAAAGCGATGATAAAAGCGAACGGACGCCTCCGAATGTTGTAATACGACGGAAGGCGTCGTCGTTAAGATTCTATCGAAAAGAAATTAATTCCGCGAGCGGACGTTGCGCAACTCCCTTTCAAACAAACGTGCACAAACAGTGGAGAAAATTCACGAGTGTCCTGAAGGAAAAAAAAACGACTCTGTGAAAAAAGTAGAGACTGTATGTCATCGTGCGAAGCGCGGCGAGTAATCGCAAGATACTTAATGTTCGCATCAGAAGATAAGATCGGCGATGAAAACGTTTCAATTTACGTTTACTCGATCTTACATTTCTTTAATCCGCAATATCACGGCAAAATATAGTTAAAAAAAAAGTAAGTCCATAAATTAATTATACTCCAAATTATATTCAATGTGCGAAAGAATTTCTTTAAAAATCGATTTCTCGTATCACACGTGCGATCGGAATGAAGAAACTTTCCTTTCTTCTAACTCATCTCATTGAGCGGATGTTTTTTTTCCTTTAAATTAAATTTATTGACATTTCGATATATTATTGTTGGAATTATCGCCCGCAACATGGGCGTAGTGTATGACAATGTCGCTTTGTTGGAAAGCAGACACTCCGTTTCTTACCATCCTTCACGACTACATAAAGGAAAATACAATTATCATAATTGTATCACCTATGATTCAATTTTATATCATACTGTTTGATGCACAGAAGAGCTCTATCATATACTGTTAATATTTCAAGACAATTTATGAGCTTAGAGCAAATACATCGATTTCATATATCGATACTTCGTATGTTTCCCGTACGTTTGTATTAACAATGACAAGATAATTGTAAAGCAAAAAAATTGTGAATAATTTAGTTAGAACTGACATCAGAGGAAACAATATTATGATGATTAAAGTGTAATGTAATGTATTCAATTCATAATCATCAATTATACGTTTCAACATGTCTCTTGTACTTTGAAGACTGACGCTCGTGAATAATAAACAAAATTTTGGATTATAGCTGTGTCGCAAAGCACAGACGACGGTTTTTTCAATCATTTTATTTTAAACAATTTCTATATAATTTCTATATAATTAAAATAAAATGTATGTAATTAAATTAAATTATTATAAAATAATTTTAATTATTTTAAAGTAAAATAACTGAAGCAATATGCGGGATTGGCAGGAAACTTTCTGCGAATGCGCCACTAAAATCAATAGTATGAAAATTACGAGTCGATAACGTAATCTACCTGCGACTTTGTTTGGTAATTTTATTTACAATACATAATGTCTGTTGAATGTATCGCACTGATATATGCCGCATATTTATTACTAAGCTCGTTATACAACTAATGGGATGATAAAAATTGCGCATGCAAACTTGCAAACGTGCTTAATTATAGCATTCACTTTGAGCAAGCAAATGCGACCGATTGTTATATTCCGCGTACACCGATTGTTATTTTCCACGACTATATTACGCCTCGTTTTTCAACGGCATATGCGCAACATTGTTGACGCTATAAACATCTTTCTACCGTTTTTTTGTCTGGCTAAAACTATGTCTTCGTGTTAAGTAACGAGATGGGATAAAATATTGCAAGAAATACGATTGTACTTTTAGAAACGATACGTGTTATATCACGGAAGTTAAAAAGCGAATGTCGCTTCTATGCACAAAGCTTTGTCGGAAAACTTACGAAGAAATTTGCGTTCAGGACTTTCATAATCTCGTGACGGCCTTGGAGGCACGATGGTGAACACTTTGCGAAATTAGAACTAACGAAACTCAATAGGAAAACGTCATTAGGAACAACGCACGAAATCTTTCACGTTTGAAACGTAAAACAATCGTATTTGCGAGCTAATATATAATTAGCAGGGACGAAGAGAGACGTATAGGGGGAGAGATACAATATTCTCGTATCGAAGCGGCGATTAAATCACATTTGCTACGTCTATTTGCCTTTCAAGACTAACATAACGAGGTAAGGAGGGATAGCGACTCCGGGGTTGGGGGAGAAAGAGGTGAAAAGTGTGACAGCGCGATGTTTGCCCTGGACTTTTTAATTTCTCCGGGACGAGGGTGGTATCGCCGTCATCTCTCGCGCACGGACACACGAAGAAACGTGAAGGTACGATTCACGAGCTGCCCGACAATATTTATCGAGAGTGTCAGCGACCCATACAACGTGCGTATACACCTCGTCCTACGTACTATGTCTATCGATCCATCTCGCGACTCTCATTACCGGCCCCTTACCGGTCGACTTAAATATTTACCGGCTGAAACGTTTGCTTCGCGGCCGATTATAATGATAGGAGCGAATAGCGCGCTTCGCCCTCTCTCTCTCTCTCTCTCTCTCTCTCTCTCTTTGTATATGCGGGACGCGGAGCGAGTCCTCTTAATTAT